GTTTGGGGGGCATAACTAACCCTCCATCACCTCTAAATATTGACCAGATACCTTTATCCAGGGAAGAACACCTTGGAGCTATGTGTGATGCAGCAAACTCAGGGCAACTCTCAATAGCAAAATTTAGTAAATGCCACTATGTACCAAGGCAGGGGGTCTGCAGATGATCACAGGACTAACCTCCCCTTCGGAAGCAGGCTCCCTCTCCTGGAGTTTTAATGGTTACACAGCCTTGCGGAGCTGGGCAGGACCCCACGGTAGGACCTGGACAAACACTAATGCCACCATTTCCAAGAGGAGCTAGTGAGAATTCATCTGGCTGCCACACATTATTGAGGACCCAGGAGAGGGCCCAGGCATGCCCTGTCCATGGATGATGCCCAGAGTCAATCCCTGGTCTCCAGGCCTTGGGCTATCTTACTCAGATGAATATCCTAGAGGACGACCATTGTTAAAGGCAGTGCACACCTCGGGCTCTCTGCAGGCCTTGAGGACCCGACAATCACAATTACAGACCTCCAAGATTTGCAAGATAAGAACATGCATAGGCCTGCAGGAGGAAAATACCATAATCTCATAAAAGGAGGGGACACATGGGCTTAAATGGAGAGAGGAACCATGAGCATACATAGAAATAGCAGTGCACGTGAGATTCAGGAGAATGTACAGAAGCTTACATGGAGAGTGCACACAAGATGGCAAAGAAACCATGTATTCAGGCACACGTGGGAAATTGCACATGGTTCACACACAGACAGTACCCGGGGACTCATGTAGAGAGATGCACAGGGGCTCATATGAACAGATGCACACAGGCTCCCATGGGAAGATGCACACGGGCTCCCATGGGGAGATGCACACGGGCTCCCATGGGGAGATGCACACGGGCTCCCATGGGGAGATGCACACGGGCTCCCATGGGGAGAGGCACACGGGCTCCCATGGGGAGAGGCACACGGGCTCCCATGGGGAGAGGCACACGGGCTCCCATGGGGAGAGGCACACGGGCTCCCATGGGGAGAGGCACACGGGCTCCCATGGGAAGATGCACACGGGCTCCCATGGGGAGATGCACACAGGCTCCCATGGGGAGAGGCACACAGACTCCCATGGGGAGATGCACACAGGCTTCCATGGGGAGATGCACACTATTCCTGGGGACCAAAAATGCTTCTCAACCAACTCCCCCATTTAAGAAGAGTGACCCGGGAAGGTCCAAGACTTTTCCCCGCCCACCCTGCCAGCGCAAGTCACCTCTAGGACTACAGACCAGGATCATCCGACAAGATGTGATTTTTTTTCTTTTGGCCTTCTTTAATTTCAAAAGAAACTAAGAAAAAATTTCTCCCAAGACCTTTCCAACCTGGTGTATGAGCAGGACAAGGAGCACCCTGAAGTCAAGTTTTGAAACTTTGAGGGTATTTCTCCAAAGGCCACCTGAGAGGTGACAAAGGAGAGGCAGATCCATTTACTCCAGATTGCGATTTCAGAAGAATGACCAGCTCAGAAGCCAAGCACGCACCTCCGTGGGGCTCCAGGGAGTCCTCTCTACACTTGGCCATGCTTCTCCCTCAGGACACTCAGGAGCGCTCCCATCTCTCTGTGGTAGGGAGCCCGTCCCTGGCCACCTCGCTCTCAGCTACTCCTCCTTTGCTTTGCTTACTGGTGTCTAGGCTAAGGGGGATTCTGTTGTTCACGTTTTGTTTCTTCATTGTCTCTCTCCCCTCTAGAATGTTAGCAGAAGGAGGGTAGGACGTGACTCTCCCGTGTGCATGGCTCTGATCTCAGTACCTCAAAGAAAACCTGGTACATAGTACACGTTCAGTCAACGCTGCTAGAATAAAATAATGATAAACAAACTCTACGCCTAAATGCACATAATGTGCTGTTTCCAGAGGCTATATTAGAGGAGCTATGATATTACATTGAAAAAATTCTCTGGGGGGTTCCCAGGAAACAGTGTTCTTACGTCCTGATAACTCGCTACTGTTCGTGAAACAGTAATCAGAGAATGACAGCCTGACTACTGAGAGATTAAGGAAGAGGAAACAGGCATTAATTTCTCTTTGAGACCTCGTCACAGGCGAGACATTCCTCTGAGAGCCGCTCCTTCCAAAGCCCATCCTCCCTCAGTGACACCCCGCTAAGCAAATGCCTTGTCCCTGAGGACCGGGGCGCTGCGGGGCGGTCACGTGCCTTAAGTGGGCCATTGTCATTTTCCATATAGATCCCAAGACTCCTGCCTGGAGCACATTTGTAAATGATTCAGAGATGATGGAAAGTGACATGAAGCCACAGTCCTTCATTTTCCTGACAACCTGTCCTAAAAACAAACTCAGTCCGTTACGGTGGTTTTTGAGATCACTCCGCGCTTGGATGGTTATGTCAACACCAGGGCGATCTGGGATGTATCCGTACCGTCGGTCGTTCCAAGAAGCCTGCTTTTGCTGGAAGCTACGGCAGCCTTCTACAGTGGGCCTTCAGTAAACGTTCCCTGGGCGGCAGGGTTCCTCCCAGAGGGGCCCGTAGAGGGGCAGAAAAGCCCCGAGTGGGAAGTCACAGCCAGCTCATCCCCCAGAACGGCCCTGACAAGCTCTTTGTTCCGGTCAGCCTGAGCGAAAGGCATGAAATTGGTTATCTGGGCAGGTCTCATTACCCACGATGTAAAATACATGTTTAACACACTCCATTTTATCAAATTGGCTGCTACGGTCACCTGGAAACCACTGCCCTTGAAGATCCAGTAAGCAGTCCGATCATTTCCATGAGTTTTAAATCATGCTGAAGGAGACTAAGCAAATATCCAAACACCCAGCATTTGTGGAAGCAGAATACCCGTCACATCTTCATGAGACGTAGACGTTGAGATAGGAAGTTGCCGATCTTAGCAACTTTAGGCAGTGGTCAGCCTTTGTCTCTGAGTCTGCTGTGTCCTTTTGCACCTCCTCCCCCACACCACACACACACACACACACACACACACGCCATTCACACTCTAAAAAGCCTCTCCTGACAATAACCTCTTTAATAATGCAGCATGGAGCAGAGGGCTAGAAATTATCTTGTTGTTCTGCCTGAACCCAAGTGACAGGAGAAAATATTTCCCAACCCTCACATCCTTGAGATGCTAAAACTTGATTTGCAATTAGTTTTGGTGCTGAATACAAGTGCCCGATGGAATGGCATTGTAGCAAGACTGATGATTCTACCGCGCAAAACCATAAATAGCACACTTATTTAAGACGATTTGAATGCAGAACAAAAGGTACCTTAGAAATAACCATCCAGCTAACAAAACCACATCCCTGAGTGGGTAGGTCTGAATTTAATGAAATGATGTAAAATGTGTGCTTGAAATGTCTAGGAGGCTTGGAATGTACTCCGTTCTCTTGGGAATAGTTTGGGTTTGCATTACTAATTAATAGAAGTTCCCAGTGAAGGGGTGTGTGTGTGTGTGTGTGTGGTGTGAGTACTCTAGAAATGCCCACACCAAAACACGCAATACCAGAAACTGCATTCCTCTGAAAATGAATGCCATTAATTTGTAACATCCGGCATGCAAGATCTGGATGTAAGCACGAGAATTAAGAGGCTGCTTGTGGAATCCAGATGGCCAGGGTTCTGTAGTGATCACTTTCTTTCCATCACTGCCAACCTCTGCATGCAGTTATCTAATGGGGAGTTCACAGAGAATAACCCAGAAGCTAGAAGACCACAGGGACCCTCATCACACAAGCATGAAGACATAAAAACCCACTTGGCAAATGCAAAAGGAAAAATGAGATTACCTTTAAAGGGATTATGAAGCCGGCTAGGAAATGCTAAGGATATTCATACAAGCCTCTTGCTGGCTGTCCTTGCTCACAGAATGTTAATTCCAAATGGTGTTGGCGGGCACTCTCTCCAGATCCTTCAAAACATACAGATTCCTGACACATAGGCATGAGGGTTAAATGAAAAATCAATTTACAGTTCTCATGTGAGGCAAAAAAAAACTTCAGGGACTACAACAGTTAACAAAGAGAAGTGACAGCTTAAATTTGAATTTGCAGAGCACCTTGCAAATTGTTTGCACAGATGTGACATTATTTACATGATAATTTCATGCTTCTCAGCACACAGAGGAAAATAAAACTTAGATGACATAATGGGACCATTAATCCTATTAATGGATTAAGGGTTGCTTCTAGAACCTTCCTGCTGCTTCATCATCTTGATATAATTGGCAATATTGCTATCTCTGCATTCCATCCCCTACTGCGAAAGGCAAGTCAGAAAGAAAACAAGTTTGCTACCTTGCCCAAAAAAATAATGTTAACTAGTGTCAAAAATGTTTGAGGCACTAAGGTGCATTTACAGTTCCCTCTGAAACAACACGGGGTTGAGCTGCCCAGGTCCACTGAGAAGTGGGTCTTTTCTGATAACGACCGAACAGGGCTGTAAATGTATTTTCTCTTCCTTATGATTTTCTTAATATTTTCTTTTCTCTAGCTTATTTTATTGGAAGGACACAGTATATAATACATGTAACATACAATATATGAGTTAATCGACTGGACTGTTCGTGTTATTGGTAAAGCTTCTGGTCAACAGTAGGCAATTAGTAGCTAAGTTTTGAGAGAGTCAAAAGTTACATGCGGATTTTCCACTGCAGGGGGTGGGGGTGTCGTCTGTGCCCGATTCCCCTCCCTCCACACACTGTTCAAGGGTCAGCTGTATCTGGAATAACCTCCAGCCAAAGTATTAAGAAACGTTTTAGGACTGAAACACTTTCCGCTCATGGAAAGAACAGAATACAGAGCTTTGTCTACAATACTCATTTCAGCAACCACCAAAGAAATAAGCATGTATCAGCCACAAGACCACTAAGCTGCTTTAACGTGACGATGCTACTGTTCATTCAGACTGCGCTGAATCAGCTCCATTTCAGCGGCGATGCTCCAGAAGCAAGAAATGATAGATCACGGTTGCGGGAGCTCCGCTGCGAAAGCACAGGAGGAATTCTCCTCCGTCCGCACTCGCATGTCATCACTTACTTGCAATTTCGGTAGAGGACTCTCCAAACTGGGAAAGATGAGGAGGCCGCGGGATAGATTCAGATTCAAGAGATTTGAGCCTCACCCTCCGCCCTGAAAAATACTCCATGTCGTCCGTCCGTAAATGGACGCCCTGGCGCAAAGTGCCCGGGTGAACCAAAATTACCTGCCTGTGAAAAATGGCTCCCCGTACATCAGCATCTATCCATTCTGGCCTTCTTTGCCTCTGCCATTTGTCTTGATTTTCATTTAGAGCTGGGCACTCCAGGCACACTCCCTCACAGTCGTGGGTGGGTGTGTACTGTCCTTGTCACCCATGGAGCTACACAGGGGAAAGAAATTACTTATTGATTTTCCTTTCCATGGAATGGTGTCTTTGGAATGGTTTCTTGAACCAGGTCAGTAATGCATGCGGCCCCAGGACTGGGAACATAGACGGAACGCCAGCCGGGGCTCTCCTGCTCACCGCTCAGCCCTTCTGAGCAGAGGTCCCACCCAGGATCACCAGCGTCCAGCTCTGTTGATAAGAGAAAGTATGCACCTCAGAAGTCAGAAGAATGGACCAAAAAGGGTATTCTCCCATCTGAGCAGTGGAAATGGCGTGATGTGAGCTTTGTTCTACTTCTTTATGCTGAAGGAGGTTTGGGATGGCTCATCCAGAATGGAGGCTGCAGCGTGGACAAGCAGGGACGGGGGAAACAGAGGGGTAGAGATGGATCAGGAGCAGACATGCGGAGTGGGCAGGACCTGCGTGCCATAGTAGAAGATAAAGCTGGGTATGGGGGTGGGACCAACAGACAGAGAGTCCTTCATAGCAGGCTGAGGGGTTCATGCTTTATCTGGGGGTGGCAAACTGCCTCATGCACCAAATCTGGCCCACCACCTATTTTTGTAAATCAGCTCTCATGGGATCGCAGTCTCCCACCTAAGACCAAAGTGACCCAGCCAGTGGCCCAGGTAAACCTGTGTCTGTAGGAGTGAAAGCTGCATATCTGGGGGAAACTGAGTCACACAACAGCTCAATCACATCCAGGGAGCCCCAGGGGCACCCTCTGTCTTTGCTCCGCTTGTCCCCATCCCACTGGCACTGTAGGGGATGGCCCTGATTCATCCTTCTCATTGTTGTGACAAACCCTCTTCTTGCTACCAAGACTCTCTTTGATCACCAGCTTCTTACTCAGAACACACTGGAAGTTCAAGATGGTTGGTTGGTGATACTAACTCTTTGAAATGATTATAATAAAATCCAGTTTTAACCTCTTTCTCAAAACCGTATTTTAATTTTGTTCAAATGGTCTGCTCTACATAAGAGATACAGTAATCTCTGAACAAAACAGTTTTTAAAAGTAATCTTTCTGACTGCCCTATGCTTCTATATTAAGCTTTTGCTATAGCTCATTGGAGCAGTAAACAAGCATCAATGCAAATCAGGTTATGCTTGGTTGTAGTTAAAGAAGAGAAATAACCAAGGGACACCAGAAGCTGAAATGAGTCATGAGCTTTTCTAAAAACAAAATAAAGAGGTAAACTCAGAAAACTTATAATTGGGAAATCTCTAAGGACTTTACAGGCAAAGTGTATTACAGATTTATTTTTCCTTCTGGGCTTTGCTACTTGGGAAACCCCAACTTGTTAATGCAGATGAGCAGATGTGTCCTGAGCATCCACGTCGACACCAGCCTTGGCCAGCCTGAGGCCATTAGCGATCTGAAACGCAGGTCTGCTACAAGCACTCATTGGACTTTTATTATGAGATATTCATGGTGAATCACAAAAGAGCATTTTAATCATAATCTCTATAAAACACATTGATAATAAGAAAAATAGCCACCAAACTGCAGCTTAGACCTTTATTTATTTTCCAAAGGCACTCCAAGGTAATTACACATTTGGCAGGTTAATATTAAATTCAAATTTAACAAGTAAGATTAGCTTTTATAACATCATGAACTGACAATTTCTTGTACTCACCATATGATGATTCATACAGTATTGGAGCCAGTGGGTGCATCCCAATACTGCCTCCTAGTGGTACTGTAGCTTAATTACAGGAACAGTGTTCTGAAAAACAGTTCTTTGAAAAATGAAACATCGGGTGATTACAAACACCGTGACATTAAGCCACATAGCCCTGATGTCTGGGGTGACCGAACACCCATCACTACCCTTTGAGAGAGCCTACTGTGAGCTCAGTGCTGAACTAAGAAATAAAATTACCACCTAGAAAATGTGGCTTTATTAATATGCAAATTCAGATTATCAAACCACATTATTAAACTAGAAAAGAAGGATGTGGTACAATCAGGTGCTGTTAATTCAACCTACACAGCTTTTCCTTTACCTAGAATGACAATACCAGACTATTGAGACAGCTTGGCATTAAGTGTGCACCGGAAACCACACCCGCTTGAATTCTCGGAAACTGGTTTAAGAAACTGACTGGCCCATCCCCCCCCCCCAATGACCCCTGAGTTTTTCCACCCTGACAATTGTGGTCATGCAAAACCTCCAGAATGCTTCATGCCAAATGTCCAGCCCAAATCCCTTTTGGGTACTTCAGGATCCGATTCAAATCCCACCTTCAAAATACCTTCCTTCTCTCTCGAAACTAAAGTGAGCTCTTCTTCTAACTATTAGGTTGGCAATAATGAAACAGATAGCCCTATGGTAACCACCTCTACCCCTTTATGCTTATATTACATCATTTACTCCCTTTACTCACCTGTCACAAGCTGTGATTACCTCACCAAGCTCTGTTTTTATTTGTTTACTGTTTGTCCCCATAGAATGGATACCTCCTGAGGCCAGGGACCTAGCTGCTCTGCTCACTACTGAATATCTCGCTCCTTGCAGTGTCTAGCACATGGTAGATGCTGAATAAATATCTGCCGAATGAATAAACATTTAGTGTTGCCGAAGGTATTACAGTCAGTCCTACACTTGCTGGTAAGATGGTACAAATTATTTAGGGGACAATTTAGCAATATGAATCAAACTTTATTATGCAAACAGAGTAGTAAAATGTAAGATATAACCCAAGTGTTTATCAAGAAAATGGAAATAAATGATGTGAATCAAACAATAATATGCTATGCAGCCATCAAAAATGATGATGTTCATCTATATTTACTGACGTGAAAAAAATGTCCGTGACATATAAACTAAAAAAAAAAAACAAAAATAAAAACAAACAAACCAGGGTTCACAACACCATGTGTAATGGTTAATTCTATGTGTCAACTGGGCTACGGGGTGCCCAAATATTTGGTCAAACCTTATTTTTCATGTTTCTGAGTCTGTGAGAGTGTTTTTCGTTGTTTGGTTTTATTTTATTTTAGATGAGAATAACATTTAAATCAACAGACCTAAGAAAATGCTGATCACCCTCCCTAACATGGGTGGGCCTATTCAGTCAGCTAAACCCCTGAATAGCACAAAAAGGCTGAACCACCCCTGGTAAGAGAAAATTCTTCCCACCTGACTGCCTTCAAATGGAGACATTGACTTTTTTTCCTGCCTTCAGACTCAAATTGAAACATCATCTCTCCCCGGTTTTGAGCTCTCCCACTGGCCCTCCTGGTCCTCAGGTCTTCAGACTCACACTGGAACTAAACCATCAGCCCTCCTGAGTCTCCAGCTTGTCAACTCATCCTACAGAGCTCAAGACCCGCCAAACTCCGTAATGCATGAGACAAGTCCTCTGATTCTATGATCTATCAATATTGATGTATCTCTTGCTAACTCTATATACAGACAGAGACAGATATAGATACATCCTATTGGTTCTGTTTCTCCAGCCAACCCTAATACAGCATGGATACTAGAATCTCATGTTGTTAAAATATTACAACTGGGTAGATTTAGTTGTGGTGGGTTGACTGCAGTGTGTCCCAATTGAATGTTCATGCCTCCCTGTTTCCATTCTCTTCCAGAATCCCTCTCATGCTGACTCTAGGTATGCTTAGCCACTTAACTTGACTTTTACCAGTGGGACAATAGCAGATATGATAGAAGCAAAAACTTGAAACATATTCGTATGTTGGCCTTTGCCTTTCTGTTGCTCCTGAAACCTGAGGCTGCTGTGTGAACCAGCCCAGGGTCATCTGCAGGAGTAAGGAGAAGCCACTGAAGAAAGGCCCCAGATGTCCCACCTGTGCTGGTCAAGGCCAAACCACCAGCTGACGGTGAGGTCATGTGAGACTGGACTGCGCCAGAACTCCCCAACTGAACCCAGTACAAATGGCCAACCTGGAGAATCATGAGCTACATAAATGTTGATAACAATAAACAATAAATAAGTAAATGCTTGGTATTCCAAACTACTAAGTTTGAGGATGGTTTCTTATAAAGCAAACAATAACTAATAGATTATAATGGAACAAAAAACCTAGAAGTTTATATTCTAAATTGTCAATGGCGGTAATTTCTGCATAGAGATCATAGATGACTCTCATCTTTACATCCTGTTTATGAGAATGTATTATGTCTATGAGCACAGAAAAAATAAAAACACATTTTTGTTTTAAAAAATTAATTCTTTAAAAGGGATTTCTCTCTTCTGAGATTTCCTGCAGTAATTATTATTTGCACAACTAATACTCTGATTAGTTATAAAGTGTTTTGATATCTTGAACTGATCTTCAAGGCTCTCCCTGTTATTTGACTATGGGAGTAGAACATGCTGTTGTATGGATTAGTGGGTGTGCATGTATCTTCCATAGGTATTAAACATAAAACCAGCCTATAGCATGGAATCATAGGTGGATTCTTTACTTTGATTTGAAATCACTATTTTATATATATTTTTTAAGATTTTATTTATTCATTTGACAGAAAGAGACATAGCGAGAGAGGGAACACAAGCAGGGGGAGTGGGAGAGGGAGAAGCAGGCTTCCCGCGGAGCAGGGAGCCCGATGTGGGGCTCGATCCCAGGACGCTGGGATCATGACCTGAGCCGAAGGCAGACGCTTAATGACTAAGCCACCCAGGTACCCCATGAAATCACTATTTTATATGAACAAGTAAGGCAGAGTCTGGAATGGAATAGCTTCAAGAAAAAGAGAGTCCCTAGCAACGTCTATGTTTGAAATTAATGAGTTGCCTGAAAAGCCAGTACTCGTGAGTCTGGAACCGATGCATCTCCCCATGCCCAGAAGCTAACAGCTTCCTTTGGTTACACCATGACTCCACGCTTCAACTGCCAATTTCAAGTTTAACTCGGATTGATTTAAACAACATATATACATACAAACCAGTAAATTCAACAAATCATGAAAATTTGGAACACAAATTTGAAGTTCAGTTACAGAGGTAACCTGGAAAGCGGATAGTTTTTAAAGACGATACAAGAAATAACATGGGGGGAAAAATGGGTACACCAAAAGAGTCCAAATGTAAAACAGATCATTCTCAACTTTCATTTTTAGACAATGTAACAAAGAGACCAAAAGTTATCCACCTTCAACCAAGTTAATAAAGAAATATATAGGGGCGCCTGGGTGGCTCAGTCGTTAAGCGTCTGCCTTCGGCTCAGGTCATGATCCCAGTATCCTGGGATTGAACCCCGCATCGGGCTCCCTGCTCAGCGGGAAGCCTGCTTCTCCCCCTCCCACTCCCCCACTTGTGTTCCCTATCTCGCTGTGTCTCTCTCTGTCAAATAAATAAATAAAATCTTAAAAAAAGAGGAAATATATAGAAAGCGGGCATCATGCAGCTTCCTTTGATTTTCCCAAAAGACTCCCTGTACACTTTTAAGAGCGAGATGATACAGAACAAAATAGATGATACAAGCGAGGCAAGAGGTAGATTAGAAACTGAAGCAAGACCACCACTGCCTTCAGCTGCAAGAAGGTCGCTGGGCTACCTTGGGGAGTGCCCTTACCTACCGTAAAGCTAAGTGGCTACAACAAGGATCGGAGCCCCGGGTTCTAAAATCTGCTAGCAGCACTCAAATGGTAGTGGGAAGAATGAGGAGCTGTGTGACCAGGTTTCAAAGAATTTGAATCATTTAGGTAACTGGGCCAGCAGATGGCAAATGTGGTTCATTTTGCGAGACTGAAATAATTAGTCTGGGAGAGAGAAGCTAATCTAGTAATAATGATCTTCTGCTTATGTAGCATTATTTTTTACAAAGCACCTTTCACCACAAGGCTCCCACAGCACCTCTGTGAGGATCGTGCGTGGTCTGCTAAGATGCTAGCAGAGGTGGAAGAGGCATTGAGGAGAAGTGTAATCCGCACAACTGGGGCCCCAGATGAGGGAGGAGGGGGCGAGCAAGGGAGAAGCCGGAAAACCCCAAAGTGATTGATTCACCAAATAAAGATATCTTTTGGACACTCATCTGAGAGAATTCAACCAGCAGAATATTTGCTGGATTCTGAATGTTGACTCATGAAATATTAGGGTACTATTTCCTTGGGGTAAGATTTAAAGTATGTATATACCAGATATCAAGGTTTTTCTCTAGATGAAGGTTTAAAGAGATTAGCTTTATCTTATTAAAATGATGAACACACACACACACACACATACACACACACCCCTCAATTGGCCAAATGAAACTCTTCAATTTTGAGAGTAATTCCCAAGATTGAATAGGTGATTCGGTGAAAAGTAGTCCCAGGGAGAATAGAGAGAGCATTGTTCTTTAAATCCCTCCTTCGGGAGAATACTTCCCTCCTTTCTTCCCTACCCCCTCGCCACCGTAGCCCCCTTCCCCACCCCTGCTCCCACCCTCCCAGCTCTTGGTCAACAGAGGGTGTTAGATGTAATTGGGGGCAGCACAGCTAGACTTTCGTGCATTAAGAACCAGTTCTCTAGTCCTGCTCATGACCCCTTCACCGGCCACCTCATGTAAGCAAACAGGAGCCTCCGGAACGTCTTGAGAGCCTGGATTTTCCATCCACCTAAAACACATTGACATCACCTACCACAGATCAAGTATGGCTTAGCGTGAGTCGGGAGCAAACAGCCTGCTTACATGACATGTCAAGAGATCAGAAGCGCAGAGAACAGGGACCGTGGAACTTGCCTTGCGTGGCTTTCGAGGCACTTGAGTTAC